TTAAGCATGCCAAGTAAAAACCTTGATATTAAATACTTGTTGATTGGAATATGTGTGGAATAATGCCAAGGGCAGGGACACCTTCCACTATCCCAGGTGGCTCCAAGCCCTGCCCAGCCTGGCCTTGGGCACTGCCAGGGATCCAGGGGCAGCCACAGCTCCTCTGGGCCCCCTGTGCCAGGGCCTCCCCTCCCTCCCAAGCATTCCTAATTTAGCACTGAATCTATTAATTTGAAGCTGGTATCACTTCAGAAACGCTTCAGGGGCTGAACACAGGCCAGAGTATTCACCTGTAAATAATTGCAGACTTCATAGCTGGCTTTGCCAGCCCTGAGCCTTTGATGTGGTGCCCACAGCAGGGGAAGGTGCATCCCGAGACCTGAGTGCAGCAGGGTAGCTGTGACTTGTAAACGAGCCTTGCAATCATCATGCAGCAGGTCTGTCCTGGGCACAAAGGAAAACGCTTGGAAAAAATGAATGTTTTCAGGCTGCAGAGCACCCAGATGAATTTTCATAGCTGGGTACCAGACTGCATTCATTTCAAGGTTTTTTAATCTGATTTTCCAGCAGTTCTTTCAGCTGTACAAAAGTCTCTCGTGCTTAAACAAAACATGGGGGGCTTTGTTCCGGGGGGGAATCACTGCTCTGGTCATATTTTAACAAGGTGTTTGGAATATTTCTTGCAAGGAAGCATCTGAATATCTGCTTTTTTTTGACTGAAAAAACACCCCTTGCTAGAGATGCAAGCACACAGCCAGTCCTCGGCTGGGCTCTGAGGAACTGGGATATTTTCTGACCTGTTGCAAGAAAAAGGAGGAGAGTTAGGAGATACAACTGTACATTTTTGGGGGCATCTTGTCCCTGTGGTGTGGCACTGGCAGGAGGGTTTGGAGCAGCAGCAGTCCCTCCTGGGGTGTAAAGCTGTATTTCAAGCCCATCTTTGTCCTCACCAGGCTCTGAAATGGCTCCCAGAGCTCAGGAACACCAGCACTGACCCAAGGAGGCCCCTGCAGGGGCTCTGTCAGCATTCCCCACACCTCAGCCCTTTTCCTGCAGGATGCACTAAAGCCAGGGACTCACAAGGCTCTGGGCTCCCTGTCCTTCACATCTCATCCATCACTGACACCTCGGGCCTTTTGAAAGCTCAGGGCAGTTCCCTACAGCCCTCTGGTGTTCCCTCACGTGCAAAAATGGAACTGAAACCCAAGGTCCCTGAAATTGAGAAATCAAGCTTCCCAATTAACGGAATGTGGGAAAGAATAACAGCGCCAACGCAGCAAAGCCCCTCCAGCCCCTTTGGTACTGAATTCCATTTGCTTTGTGACACCTCCAGTGCTCGGTTTGTGTGCTGGCTGTGGAGGACAGAAGCTGCAAACTGGAGATTCTTCTGGGAGCTCTTCCAGCAGAGCTTTTGGAGGGGCACTGCCAACACGTTTCTGTAAAAGCCACCAAATACTCCCATGCTCACTCAGGTAAATTTGTATGTTTCTGTACACACACACCTGTACATGAATATATAACTATATTCTGAATATTTTTGAGGATGCCATATGTCCAGAGACAAGTTTTAAGCTGATGAATGCTCACCCTGCAACCATGGAGGAGTGAAACACATTAATTCTCCACGCTGGGTTTGGGCAGGCCCCTGTCCCTCAGTGGCATCTGCAGGACCAAGGCACAGGAGTCACAATGTCCTCAGCTGCTCCTGGACATCCTGGCATGTGGAGAGGGCTCTCTTCTCCACTGCTGCCCCTGGTTTGGCTCCTTTTCTTGTGCCAGCAAACACTGGTTCTCCTCTGCCTGAATCCAGGGATTCAAACACCATAAACCCCTTCAAAAATTACCTAAGAACAAATATACTCTCACTTCAAAAAAAATCTCCTTTAAATTAATTTCAACTCTTTAAATCTCCAATACCTGAACCCCAAATATTACAAAATTAAACAGCTGTCAAAACAAACCCCCCCAAAAAACCCCTCAAACCCAAAACCTGCAAAAAAAAAAAAAAAAACCCCAGTTATTTTAAAGCAGGATGAGATAACCTGAAAAGCACAAGCAGTAACATTGGCTTTCTCTGTTTTCAGCCCATCAGCACCGAGTCAGGGTATCTCCTGTGACCTGGCTGAAGTCAGCAGTACCCACTGGCTGCAAAAGGCTGATGTGGCAGGCAAATGTTGAATTTCCACCTTTAATCTGGCCAGGACAGAATGTACTCGGTGCCCTCCCCAATCTCCAGTTCCCAGTAAGGATTCACCCACTGGGGATTGGGCCCAGGGGCCTCAGCCTCCCTCTGTAAAACTCCCAGTCCACAAGCCAATAATCCATTTTACTGCAGTGTTTTGAAAGGCTGGAGATGGCAAAGGACAATGCTCTCAGGGTAACTCTGAATTTCTCTGCTTTTGTGGGAATAAATCAAGCCCTGCATTATTTTTAGCAGCTTGCTATTACAGCTTTTGCAACCCGAAGACAGACTACTGCCTTTAATTCATCAGTAATTTCAACAGTTAATCAGAAAATGTCATTACCTAGAAAGTCTGCAGCTCGAAAGAAAGCACGCTGGAGTTAAATTTAAATTGGAGCGGGGACAGAAATGAGCGCAGCCTTTGATCCCCTTTTCATCCAGACTGCACCCTGATGGGCACAGCTGGACAGGATGGGAATGGGGAGGAGGCAGGGCTCGCCTGGTGAAAGGATACTGGCAACTCATTAACTCCTGGAGCTGAGGCAATTAAAAAGCAATATTGGCTGGCTTCTTTCACAGCTCTCCTCCCGCTCCCTGCAATGGACGTTTCTCGCCAGTTTTATTTTTGAAAGGGGCTGATTTTCAGGTGTTTGACTGCAAAACACGCCATTAACATCTGCTTAATCCTCCAAGCGGCCGAACCACGTTTCTGTCAGCCCAAACAAAGGCACCCAGCTCTGCCTGCCTTCCTCTGAAGGGATATTCATGTAGGCAGGGAAAGAGTCTGGTTGCAGACCCTCTGAGCACAGCCATGTATTTAAACAAGACAGGATGCAGGCTCTTCCCAGCTCTGGAGCAAGCTGTACTTTTCACTCTCCCAGTGTAACTGTAGCCACAGCTCCTCTGGGCCCCCTTTTCCCCCCTCTTTTTTCCCCCTTTTCCCCCCTTTTTTCCCTTTTCCCCACACAGCAATGCTGTTAAACCCCTCCCGTTTGCCATGCTGACCGGAGGAGCTGTGGCACAGAGCCAGGCTCTCCACAGAGCCACCCTGCCTTGCCACTCTGCTCCCCTTCCCTGCGAACACAGGGACAGCCCTGGCGCCTTCCCTCTCCAGCTTTGGTGGAGGAAACCTCACTGAAGCTCCGTCCTGGACGTGTCCTGCCGAAGTTCAGGCCAGCTGCCATCTGCTCGGGCATGATCCTGTGTCCCTGCTCCTTCCCACAAGGCACCAAACCACTCCCAGGTTAGGTCAGAGGACGTTCAGACTCCTGTTTTAGGTGGCAATGTGCTGTCATGCCTGTAAATGTACCCAGTACACGCAATGAGAGGAGATTTTCAATCCAAATTGTTACTGATGGGCTTTGAAGCTTTCCCTTCTCCAGTTTCTGCCTGCTGGGTTTCAGTTTTGTTTGAAATTTCATCTGAAAACATGTATTTCAGTGGAGCATGGTGGTGTGGAGCCAGTTCCAGGGCTCCCAGCACTGGGAATGTGTTTAGCCACTGGGAACGCATTTTGGAGAGGTCACTGAGAGATTCAGACGGTGGAATGTGGCCAGTGGAGACAAAAATCCACGTTAAATGGACAGCAGTGAGATGCAAAATCAGATTTATGTTTTGAGGAGTCAAAAGAGGAGCTTAAAAAGCAGGGAGAGGTGTGTTCACTAGCCCTGGGGTGGGAGCAGGAGCTTGGGATGGGATTGGCATGGGATAGGATGGGATGGGATGGATGGGATGGGATGGGATGGGATGGGATGGGATGGGATGGATGGGATGGGATAGGATGGGATGGGATGGGATGGATGGGATGGGATAGGATGGGATGGATGGGATGGGATGGGATGGGATGGATGGGATGGGATGGGATGGGGAGGCGGCGGGGAAAGAAGCGGGGAGGGGCGGCGCGGAGCGGCGGGGCGCATCGCGCCTCTCCCGCACGGCGGCGAGAAGGACTCGGCCGTGCTGAAGGGAGGAAGGGCACAGCGACACAAAAGCCGCTGGCGGGCAGCAGCGAAGCGGAGGCACACGCAGAGCGAGCCCGGCAGCGCTCTCCGGGTTCATTCCCGGCAGAGATGCGATGCGCTGGGATGCCGGGGGACAGCCGGATGGGCAAAGCCCCGGCTGTGGATCGCAGCTGCTCCCGCCGCGTGCGAGCGGATGAAATCACCGCAAATTCGAACCGGAGCAGCCGCTCCCCCTCCCTCCATCCCTCCGCCCCCTGCCCCGCCGCCGGAGCGGGGAGGAGGCACGGGGGGAGGGCCGGCTCCGAGCAGCGGCGGCAGCACGGGCAACCGCGGCCCGCCCCGCTCCGCTCCGCCCGCCCAGCCCCGCTCCGCTCCACTCCGCCCGGCTCAGCTCCGCCCGGCTCAACTCCGCCCGCTCAGCTCCGCTCCGCTCCTCCCGCTCCACCCGCCCCCCTCAGCTCCGCCCGGCTCAGCTCCGCCCGCTCAGCCCCGCTTCGCTCCACTCCGCCCGCTCAGCTCCGCTCCGCTCCTCCCGCTCCACCCGCCCCCCTCAGCTCCGCCCGGCTCAGCTCCGCCCGCCCAGCCCCGCTTCGCTCCACTCCGCCCGGCTCAGCTCCGCTCCGCTCCTCCCGCTCCGCCCGCCCCGCTCCACTCCGCCCGGCTCAGCTCCGCCCGCTCAGCTCCGCTCCACCCGCCCCGCTCCGCTCCGCCCGGCTCAGCCCCGCTCCGCCCGGCTCAGCTCCACTCCGCCCGGCTCAGCTCCGCCCGCTCAGCCCCGCTCCGCCCGCTCCGCTCCACTCCGCCCGGCTCAGCTCCGCCCGCTCCGCCCGGCTCAGCCCCACTCCGCCCGGCTCAGCTCCACCCGCCCCGCTCAGCCCCGCTCCGCTCCTCCCGCTCCAGCAGTCCGCTCCGCCCCGCGGTCCCTCCGCCGCGCTGCAACTTCGGTGAGCGGCCCGGGGACGCCGCGCGGAGCAGGGCAGGGCAGGGCAGGCGGAGCCGGGCATGCCGGCGGCGGCGGGCGATGGGCTCCTGGGCGAGCCGGCGGCCGTGGCGGCGGGCGGGCGGCGGCGGACGGCGGCTCCTTCCTGGCCGCCTGGCTGAGCGCCGCCGCGCCCCGGGAGCGGCTCCGCGACTTCCAGCACACCAAGAGGGTCGGCAACTACCTGATCGGCAGGAAGCTGGGAGAGGGATCCTTCGCCAAGGTCCGCGAGGGGCTGCATGTGATCACCGGAGAGAAGGTACCGCCGCCTCCGGGAGCCCCCCCGGGGCAGAACGGGGGAGAACGGGGGGCTGGCCGGTGAGCGGGCTGCGCTCAGTCCCTGCCGGCCGGGAGGGTGAGTCCTCGGGAGGATGGAGGAGCCCCCCGGGAGGATCGGGGAGCTTCTCCGGCAGGATGGAGGAGCCCCCCGGAGGATAGAGTAGTCATCCCGGGAGGATGGAGGAGCCCCTGGGAGGATGGTGTCGCTCCTCGGGAGGATGGAGGAGCCCCCCAGGAGGATGGAGGAGCCCCTGGGAGGATGGTGTCGCTCCTCGGGAGGATGGAGGAGCCCCCCAGGAGGATGGAGGAGCCCCCCAGGGAGGATGGTGGAGCTCCTCGGGCAGGATGGAGGAGCCCCCCCGGAGTATAGAGTAGCCATCCCGGGAGGATGGAGGAGCTCCCCTGAGGTGGAGGAGCTCCCCGGGAGGATCGTGGAGCTCCTCCGGCAGGACGGAGTAGCCCCCCGGGAGGATGGAAGAGTTCCTTCTAAGGTGGAGGAGCCCTCCATGAGGATCGTGGAGTTCCTCCGGCAGGATGCAGGAGCCCCCGGGAGGATGGTGGGGCTCCTCCGGCAGGATGGAATAGCCCTCCGGAGGATGGAGGAGCCCCCCTGAGGTGGAGGAGCCCCTCGGAGGATGGAGGAGCCCCCTCGGCTCCACTCATCCCGCTCCTGCCGTTCCCGAGTCCCCGCGGCTCCGCCGGGCGCTCTCCCGCGGAGCTTCCCGCGCTGCAGCCTCGCCTCCCTCTTGCACTACTTCGGCTGCCTTGTCCTGTCTGCTTTTCCTTTAATGTTAACACCTTCCCCCCCCTTGGTTTGCTCACTTTTTCTGGGTTTTTGGTGACGCTCGTGTTGCTGCTGTCGGTACAGCGCACGGCAGATGTGTTCGCAGCTGCAGCCCGCATGGCTCTCCCCCAGCGTGCCGCTCGGCACAGTCCGTGCAGGGGCTCTGCTTTTTGGGTTTTGTCCGGAGCCCTTGGGCGGAGGCTCCTGCCCATCAGCAGGACAGGGTGACAGCGTTATCAGGGGCTTGGCTGGGCGGCGAAGCCAGCGAGGACGAGCCCCCCGAGCCCCCGACAGAGTTGTGCTGCTCTTGTTTATCCACACAACTTCCAAGTGCTGTGAGAAGCGGCTGAGGGAGCTGGGAAGGGGCTGGAGCCCCAGGAGGGGCTGAGGGAGCTGGGAAGGGGCTCAGCCTGGAGAAAAGGAGGCTCAGGGGGGCCCTTGTGGCTCTGCACAACTCCTGACAGGAGGGGACAGCCGGGGGGTCGGGCTGTGCTCCAGGGAACAGGGACAGGAGGAGAGGGAACGGCCTCAGGCTGGGCCAGGGTGGACATCAGCAGGAATTTCCTCATGGAAAAAGGGTTTTAAACAGTGGCAGGGGCTGCCCAGGGCGGTTTGGAGTGCCCATCCCTGGAGGTGTCCCAGGAATGCCTGGAGGTGACATTCAGCGCTCCGCGCTGGGAAAGGGGCACAGCCCGGACTCGGTGTCTCTTCCAGCCGCAGTGACTCTGGGATTCTGTGAGCTCTGGGATTCTGCCTCTCCTGTGTCCCTTGGCAGGGGTTCCCTCCCAGCAGGGTCGCTGCTGGAGCCTCCCCGGGGCGGTGGGGCTGTGGTGGTGTCCTTCCCTGTCGCTGATGGCATTCCTGCACTCCCGGGCAGTTGTTTTTTCATTCCGGTAAATTTGTCACGGAGAGAAATTTCATATGGGGCTCTGAGAATCTCATCGTGTGAAAAATGATAAGGTTTGTGAATATTATCGTCTAGGAATGCAAAAAAAAAAAAAAATAAATGTTGCTCTGCTCTGTTACCAAGCGTGTGCTTCTCCTTGGTAACAGAAACATCCAATGATCCTGCGCTTGATAAAAGGCACATGCACACACACGTCCTCCCCACCTCCACGTTTTGGGCTTGCTACATTTATCTCAGTCTGTTAAGAGGGGAAAAAAATAAAAAAGAGCCACCACACACCCCTCTGTCTCAGCTCCCAGGTCTGCTGCCTGACTCGGTTTTTTTCTCCCTCGGTGTCTCCAATAACACACGCCGTGACAAAGTGACAGGCAGAGCTCAGCGAGTCACCCTTCCTTCCTTCCTGCCGAGCCCTGTCCATCCCTGGGGGCAGGCAGGGACATCTCTGAGCTCTGCCTGACCCAACCCTGCGCTGTGGCACTGCCTGAAGGACCAGCCACGCATCCCAAACTGACGAACCCAATGCCCACCTCCCAGAAATCCACCTCCTCAAGCCCAGCTGTTTGTGGATGAGCTCGAGTTAAGGGTGGGAGAGAAGAGTTATTAAGGATTTGCTTGGCTGAGGTCCCTCTGAGCCCGGGGGGGAGTGCTGCCCATCCCACTGAGGATTTCACCCTGCTGGACCCTCTGCTCTCCTGGGCACATCCTCTGGTGTGGCCCCAGTCATGTCCCACATGGAGCCCACCACGGGGGAGAAGGGAAACATCTGCTCACCCAGCTCCTTCCTGGCAGAGCAGGAGGCTGAGCCTCCAGGGGTGGGGATGGTGGCATGGGGACACAAGTGCCTGCTGGCCACAGAGCAGGGGTGGCCTCTTGGCAGCTGCTCCTGGGGGGACAGAGCCCTGCCCCTGGCTGTGGATTTCAGCCATTCCTTGATCATTTCCACCAGAGCATCCTCCCGTGCCATCCATCCATCCATCAATCCATCCATCCATCCATCCATCCATCCACCCATCCATCCATCCATCCATCCACCCACCCATCCATGCCAGCAGAGCATCCCTGCTCTCCAGCACCAGGCTCTTCTCTTCCTGGTCCCATTGCCACCTTGCTCCTCCCAGGAAGGGAAGGTCACTCCTTAAGAGCCTGACGCTGTCCCCACTTCCATGGTCTGGGGCAGATTTTTGTCTGTAAAGCCACTGTTGAGCCAAGGCCACTGCCTAAATCCAAGAGGATTCCCTGAAGCAGAGCCTTGGTTGTGCTGGGCCAAGGGCACTGCCCAAATTCAGGAGGATTCCCTAAAGCAGAGCCTTGGTTGTGCTGAGCCAAGGGCACTGCCTAAATCCAAGAGGATTCCCTAGAGCAGAGCCTTGGTTGTGCTGAGCCAAGGGCACTGCCCAAATTCAGGAGGATTCCCTGAAGCAGAGCCTTGGTTGTGCTGAGCCAAGGGCACTGCCCAAATTCAGGAGGATTCCCTAAAGCAGAGCCTTGGTTGTGCTGAGCCAAGGGCACTGCCTAAATCCAAGAGGATTCCCTAGAGCAGAGCCTTGGTTGTGCTGAGCCAAGGGCACTGCCCAAATTCAGGAGGATTCCCTGAAGCAGAGCCTTGCCCTGCTGTCTGGGAGCTGTTCTGGCAGAGCCCGGGCCCCTGGGGTCACTGAAATGTCACACTTCAGTAGGGGGGCCCAACAGGTTTGGATTTGCAGCAGACTTTAGCGACTCTGGAGGAGTTAATGTCTCAGAAAATGGTGTGTTTGGGGACGAAATCCCTGGATTAATGGGCCCCCAGCCAGGCTGGGATCCACGGCCCTGGCTCCAGGCGTTGTGCAGGCTCGAGGCGATGCCAGGCGGGTGCCCAAAATCTGCCATGACCTCCCGCTGGCATTCCTGGGAGCTGCAGAGCTCTGCAGGAGGATGGCAGGGTGTTCTGAGGGCCAGGCTCCTCCAGCAGGTGCCCCTGGGGTGACCTGTGTGGGATGGGGCTCAGCAGCTCCTGCCAGCTCAGGAGGGTGAGCTGAGGTCAGCATTTTAAACCTTTCCTTCCCCAGGTTTCTAAACCTTCCCTTCCCAGGATTTTACCTCTGGACTCCATCCCGCACCTCTCACGGTGCTGCTGGTGGTTTGTGCTGCCACAGTGGTATTTTTTTTTTTTTTTTTTTTTTGGCATGTTGTTTCCTGGGCTTGGAAAAGCCCTTGGTGGGGCCTGATGCAATGAAGGGCAGGAGAATCTTGGGCAGATGGTTCTTCCCCTGGCTTTGGAATGGAATATCGCAGCTGTAATCTGACATTTTGGGGTAAAGGGCTGATTTCTCAGCTCCACTCAGGCAGTCTTTAGTGCTAATCCTAAGGAAACACAGCTCCTCTGTGAAGAACAAGCCAATTTGGCTTGAAATTGTGAGAGAGCTGTGGCTGGGTGACTTCGGGAGCCTGTGTGCTCTTGGATTGCTCCAAGTCATTCTCTGGGTGATGGGGATCAGGCAAGGAGATCTCTCTCCTTCATAAAGACAGATATTTTTACAAAAAGAGGTGTAGTTTTAGAAAAATACACTTATTTTTTGCATTCTTAGGGAGCTGAGAGCGCGTTGCCGTCGCTGTGGTGGGGTGATGTGAGAGGCTCTGTTATCACACTCTGTTTTCTGTGCTGCTGTCCCAATAACTCTGAGCAGCATTGTGGGGTGGCAGCACGCTGACAATTCATGAGCCAAAGTTCCTGTAAACAAACCTGAGCCAAGATTATATGGAGCTGCTTTTAGGTGTAATCTTTGGCACTACAAAAAAAAAAAAATTAAAAAAAAAAAAAGTCAGTGAGGCAAATTGACTCATTTGATTTCTCATCCAGGGAAAACTTTGTTTATAATTTCCTCCAGTGCTATTGTTGAGCTGGAACAAGGTGCTTTTTTAGTTACACTTAGTCAAGAGCCTTTCAGCAACAGTGGGAAGCAGTGGCTAAAAATACAATTTACCAGTTTTGCTATGGAGGAAAAGCAATTAATATTAAAAGTGGCCTTTTCACTGAAGAGTTCACGTTCAGAATGCATTTCTTTATTAAAGAGGCAGAGAAAAAATGCAAAGAAAAGGCATATTTGAGCCCCCCCCTCCACGAGGTGCAGAGCAGCCTCCCTGCAGAGACCTGGAAATGCCTCTTTGTGCCACAGAGTTAATTTTGCCAGGAGTAAATTGGCCCTTTCCCTGCCTGTTTCACCACAGGTTGCAGGGAAAGGAGACTTGGTGACTTTTGGGTACATCCCCATGTACAGTTCCAGGATTTCTGCCTGTGGCTTTACCCTTTCTG